AAAACCAAGGGAAATAGAAAATTCGAATAAAAAGATTATAGCTGATAGAGTTAGCAATAATACCAGGGCCCATAATTTTGCTGCTTTTAACTACCGTACTTCCTTTGCCACAACTCAAAAAACAATTTTGAGAGGAAATGTTAATAGAAAAACCAAAGGTAAAGGAAGACGATGGCAATTTCTGAGAATGTGCCAGGAAACCAAAACAAAAATTAAACTGAAGTGCAAAATTCAATCCCAAATCAACCTCAAAACCTCTTTTAGTAATATTCTCTCTGGTTTCCTACATAGTTATGAATAAAATCATGAAGAAAAAAAATAACTCCATAATAAGAGTTCATATGTAAAAATACAAAATGCTTTTCTTCAATTAAACTGAATGTGTTCCATACACGCAATCTAAAGTATCTTTAATGAATCAAGATACCTGAGTATTTGTATCTCATTTTGATGTCTACACTGGAAGGATAAAATGCTAGATGATTATTCACATCCTTCAACAAGAATTAAATATACTGGGTCTGATACTTCTCATACAATGGGTGTTTTAAAAAAAAATCCGTATCACTAAAAAGACAATATGCATAAAATCAAGGTTTATATTCAAAGGTAGATTATACTACCAATCAAGAAAGACTGGCACAGAATTCAGAGACCCAGGTTCTAAATCCTTCTCAGTAACTAGCTTTATGTCATGAGGTAAACAATTCCCAGGGCCTCCTTCTCATCTATAAAACAAGGAAGTTAGACTACATGATCTCTGAAGCTGCTTCAGTTATAATATTCCAAAAATGGCAGGAAAAGCAATACCAGAACACATTATACCATTAAAAGTGGGACTCTCTGGAATGATATCAAACAGAGTAAAAAAGGAAAATCCCCCAATACTTTGGAAGTCTATTTCTTATCTATATAACCTTAAAAGTTTACAGTTCTGATCAAATAAAATATTTGAGAATTAGTAGATTTACTGAAATCTAATCTGCTTGCTATTTATTCTTCAGTGATATTTAAGCTGAGGAAGTAATCTGAGTAGAAAAAAATGTCACATTCCTAATTACTCTTTAAATATATACATATATATATTTCCAAGAAGGAATATGTGTGTGTGTGTGTGTGTGTGTGTGTGTGTGTGTGTGTGTGTGTGTGTGTATTCCAAGAAGGAAGAAAGTGTTACAGCCAAAGAAGCATATAAATTTACCTTTTTGCATCTTAAGGGAATAATTAGTACTAGACTTCCAGAATTAAATATATTCTGTAAATAACAGCACTCAGGATCCTGCCTTATGCTGAAGAGCATCTGACACCAGCTTTTCTTTTATTTGCTATCACAAAATGATTAACTCAAGATCTGGGATCAACAGTGATTGATATTCTCTATGACTGTCTTTCCATCTTGAGAGTACTTGCCTGCTCGAGATTTGATCATCTGCCCGCATTTTCTGTCAGTGTCTTCGCAACTTCTCATTTCTTCCCATGATTTGCACCTAAGCGCTATCTTTGCCTTTGTCCCTGCTTCTCTTTGGGGCTTCCTGTCCAAATGGGACTTTCTAGACATCAATCCCAGTGCTAGAAACTCCTTCAGTACTTCTGCTGGCTTGCCTATCTAGGACTCTGCATGTTGATCTATTCACATACTGAACTTTGAGTGAGATCTCCTACTTAGTCTTGAAAACCATAGGTATCTCCTTCTCTACCACTCCATCTGACATAACATTAAACATCATCTGCATATTGTCACCAAAGCATTACTTCAATCTGTCCCTTCCTCTGAATCTCTACAATTTCCTTGGTTTGGACTTTCACCCCAGAGACTTTGGTCTCACCCAAAGACCTCTTAACTGGTCTTCCTGCCTTTAGTCTTCCCACTTCTACTCCACCTTTTACATCACTATCTGAGTAATGCTTCTAAAATAGGAGTACAAAGTTATCAGTATCCTGTTCAAATCTCCTTTGTGGTTCTCCCTAAATGCAGAACTGAAGTCAAACTTCTAAAATAGCATACAATGTTCTTCTTAGTTACCTATGCTCTACCTCTTTCTAAAGCCTCATCCCTGCCATTCTCTGCCTCATATTTTCATCTTGTATTGACAAATCGCTTGGGGTTTCTTTCCATTTATCATGCTGTTTCTCTTCTATACCATGCCTACAATTGTTTACTGTGCATGCCTGGTCTTTCCTCTTTATCTGCCCAGCTTCAAAATTCACTTGAGGGATCAGACTCCATGGTGGCCTCTGCACACCTGTATCACTGCTCTTAGACATAATATTGAAATTATCAATGTGTCAGCTTTTCTAGGAAAATAAACTGTTCCTCAAGAGAAAGGATCATGCCAAATTCATTATTATGCCCACAGCATGTAATCTAGCATCTGGCACACAGTAGCTAGTCAGTAAATTCTTGTTAAACTGAATAAAATTTGGCCTCTAAATGCCTTATTAGGATTTATGACAAAAACAAATCGCTGATCTATTGGAACGGATTGCCTGGTGTTCCTCAATGGTATTTCCTAATTCTCAATCCTCTTCCTCCCTGTATTATATGGTTCTTGCCATTCTTTGGTTATTTTACATATAAGCCTGGTCCAACTCTGAGTTGGACTTCATATTTATATTATGTAACCAATGTCGACAAAGCAACAGTGACCCTATCCTCACCCAGTCCCCTAGTTCTTCCAGGATTAACACTAACAGAAGAAATTCATTTGGCAGATTTATGAAAACAATTACCAAATGCCCTCAGAGGCCCTTCTAACACTGCAAGATGTCAGCATGGACTAGCTGAATAGCAATTCTACTTTCCATATAGTTTTTGTCCTCTGATTTCAGATCTTATCTTCAATACTTATAGAGCTGTCCAGTCATAGTTCATGGGAATTACAGTATTGTAGCCCATCAATAACCTAAGCCATCTTTCTGGTAAATAGATTCAATTCCTCCTTAGTCAGTTGGTCAGCGTGGTATTGCTTATCATGAACCTTTTACGCTCTACAGGAAGGGTTGTCTCATGCCGTATTAAAACTCGTCTGATCAGAAGTTCAATCCCATTAAATGATAAGGGAAAACTGCTCACTAGTTCCCAAATTAAAGAGCTATGATTAAGAGTCATCTCTGGCTCTCATAATTTAACTGAACAACCGCAGTGAAAGCTTTCTGTTCAGAAATGATAAAGATTTTAACTTGAAAGAAAATTCCAAGTACATTGCTCTTGTTGTCAGAATTGAGGAATCGGGAAAAAGAAACAAGAGAAATGAGAAATGCTTTATTAATGCACAACAGAAGTTTCTAGCCCAAAATTTCTGAGCCAGCAAAACATGTATATTCTGAATTTACTATGAAGGTGGCATAAATACAAGTTTGCATTTTGTTCTATCAAAAACGGTTAGGGATGAACAGCATCACTGTACTTAAAAAAGGAGGAAAATTTTACCGGGTTGGGTAAATTTCAATGGTCAATCATAACGTTATTCATTTCTTATTAAGAATGCTTAAAAAAAAAAAAGAAAAGGTTTCCTTAAAGCACAGCTGGTCTTCAAAGGTGAATCATGTCTTTCTGTCAACTCCCACCCATACCTTGCCATCAAGTTCAAGGCATTATCTGTGTTTATTCAGGTATTCTCAACTTCCTACCATTATTTTACCTATAATTAGCCAACTAGAGAACTTCTATATATTTTTTGTATGATCAAGTTAAATACTGCATTTATGCAGAAACCACCTATAACATGCTGGTGGCATCATACCCCCCTATCCTTCTAGTACTGATATCACAGTCAGTTCTTCCTCTTTTTGCATTTGTTAATGTTTGTGTATTTCTATAAAAATATAACATACCTTAAGGATTTTTTAAATTGTTTACATTTCCATTTTCTTTATTAATTTCCATGGCTTGCTGACACTGATAACCCTCATGCCTATACACAAAAGAGCACATAATTGATAAATCTTGGCTAACTGAAGACTTTAGACAGCATCACACATAATGGTGAGAACATTAATTGTGAGTCTGACATGGCATGCAGTCCATGTTCCCATTTTTTATATGGCACCGGAAAAGTCATGTACATTTTCTAAAACCTCCCTTTTCTCACATATTTAAATAAGGATACTGCACAAACTTAAAAGTTCTTTCAAATAATAAAATCCTAAAGTGGACCACAATTGTTCATGTTTAAAGTACAGCTGGTTTTCTTTATTTTTTTCCCCCAAGTTTATTTATTTATTTTGAGAGAGAGAGAGAGAGAGAGAGAGAGAGAGAGAGAGAGAGAGAGAGAGAATCCCAAGCAGGCTCCACACTGCCAAGATGGAGCCCAATGCAGGGCTTGAACCATGAGATCATGACCTGAGCCTTAGTCGGTCGATTAACCAAGGGAGCCACCCAGGCGCCTTAAAGCTGAAAGAAACTAGCCTGGGAAGGAATGCAAGTCCTTGAGCATTGACACTTGGAAAAAGACATCTACATCGTACGTGGCCACTAATTTCTTTATTTTAATCAAGGAATTTCCAAGTTGATCTGATAGATGAAGATAGCAGGTCATTATCCCATAGTGCAGAAGAAGCTTTTTGCTAAAATTAGCAAATTGTTCGATTTTATTTAGATTTGCTTACCTACCCTTTAAATTTAAATCATCATGCAAAAGAACCATGAAGCAAGAAAGGTTGGTTATAGCAGCCCTGACCTTCGTACACTTCCAGAGACACTGCCTATCCCAAGGAAAAGGCAGAAGAATTTGCTTCTTTGAAAATCTAGTTTTACTACTTCAACAGTTTTACCTTCCTTTATTTTCTCCTTCCGTACCTATACAGTTAAGCTAATTTGTAAATGTTAAACTAAAGAAACATGGAAGTTTCTTAAATTCATGACAATGATGTCTTCCCCAGCACTGAAGTATTACAGCTGCATATGCTCTGTTCAATAACAAAATGGTATGGTTAGCCCAAACAGGACACCTTGAAGGTCATAAATACTATGATAACTTTAGGATTTAAAAACAAATTACCTTGCTTTCTGCTAACCAGCGATGTGGGTCATAATTAATATCAGGACCAGATGAAAAAACCTACAGAAAAAGGAAATAGTCTATTAGAAGTAGAATTTTCTCTGAAATGACCTTACATAAATGAAATTCTTCACCATAACACATAAAAGTTTAATCCCTAAGTTTAAAGGCTTAAAAAGAAGAAAGTTCATTATCAAGTACTCAACTAATTCCAAACCACCACTTATTATGTCCATTTATGTACACGTGTATATACGTATGTACTCATTGAGAGTAAATATTTGGCTCAAATATAGAGGCACATATCAACTCTCAAGCGTTATCATTGCTAGAATCGTTAGAGGCTGATTCCATGGACTTCTGTCAGGCAGCTTCAATCAAACCAGTTTTTCATTTTTTTGTTTGTTTCTTTTCCTCAGTCTTGTTCCACATAATATATTTCACAGTTGGTTAGATGTAATTACATGGAAACTTAATTCTTTGTCTCTTTTATCCTTCTTTAATTTTATACTGTGAGGGCCATTTTGTCTCATTAATGGTTGGGTAGAATTGACAGCAACTAATCAACATGATTTTGTGCAAATGTTGCTTTATATTTCATGATGGTAACAAAATCCTCCAATAAATAGGTTCTGTATACCAGCTGCCTTGATTTCCTTCATACCAACTCATTTATAAAATCCATTGCCATCTGGCTCTGCCTTATTACTAATAAAATGATGTTCAAAGGCTGTCAATGACTTTATGATTCTAAACACAAATTTTTTTTCAGTTCCTACTTGCTTTGAAACAGGTGCTACCTATGATATTTTTACAGGACTCCATCCTAGAAATGTTGTGTAAAAATATGCTATCCCTCTGCAAGATGTCTATTCCTATTCTCAAATACTTCCATACTTCCTGATGTGTGTGCACATCACTCCCCTAAGGAATATCATTAGGTGATTCATTTAGACACATGAAGAATGTATAATGATGCTGACCATATGCCATAAACAAACATGTTGTATTCTTAGCTCCCACTTTTCTCTCCTCCACTTTTTTTACCATCCAAATCTCACCCAACTCACAGGCCGCCTTTCCTTCAGTCAAATTCTGCCTGTTCTAGCTTGTGGTGTTTTCTTCCTCTTTGAACTCTGCTATTTGCAAGCATCCATTTCTCACTGATTATGATGTTTTCATTATTCTTTTCCATTTATCTGTGCCACAGTTGCAATTAAATCTTCAGTGACCTAAGATCTAGTGCTAAAGATTAAAGTTTAAAATAATTTGACAGGAATACAAATAATATTCTCATTTTGTGATTTTTTACAAATTTATATATAGTGTTTAAGAAACAGCCTGTCCACTTACAAGTGATGTGACTTAATTTCTCTAAGCTGCAGGTTATCATCTATAAAGTAGGCAAACTGCCTCATAAGGTCAAGGTACAAATTAAATAAAATGAGGAGACTGGCACAGTATCTGGCACAGAGAACATCATTATCACTACTAACTGCATATAAAGATGTCATCATCAGAAAATAGACTTCCAGTTCGATGGTAACAAGAACACTACAACAACAATTTGTCATAAACAGATGAATAAAAAAAAGCAATATATACATAAATATACAAATATATATGAATATATGACAAAAAGGGCACCACATAATAATGACAGCTAGCATTATTTGAGTATTTACTAAGTGCAAAATATTTCACTCCATAATATGCACCTCATATATCTTATTTTACTTTATCCTCAAAATAAGCTAACTTACAAATGGGACATGAATTCTTAAAGAGAAATTACCTAAGTTGTCCAAGGTCACACATTAGCAATTTAGAGAGATGTAATTTGAACCTACATCTGTCTTGATCCAAAGCCTATCCTCTTTATGCTCTCCAAAGAGTGCATACTCAGAATAAGTGTTATAAGAAAAGCTCTTCAATCATCGACGATTGGTTTGTGAAAATGATGTAACTTTAATTCAGGCAATGCCTAACTCAAATTCAAACAATTTCCTAATTGTTTTATAACAGTGGTGGCTTATTAAGTGTCCGTCCTTAAGTTTTCTAATATTATATGCATTTACTAAAGTGGGATAAGTAATAAATAGGGTGGCTAGAAAAAGGTAATTAGAAATAATACCAACACTCCCAAGTACTTTTCTCAGGCTCATTTGTTACATATCTATTATCCAATTCATATCATAGCTGTCACTACATAAAATGGCTTAAAAATTTGATCCACAGTATTTCAAAAACAAATGACAAAGAATAATTGGAATTATTCCATTTTTTAAAACATTTTATAAGGACCACCACTGTCCCTTAGATCTCTGAACTGTGAGGCAAAGAATTTTATTTTAACAACACCTTGGGTAGTTTATTTGAGGAGAGCAAATGTTATATTCTTGGGTATTCATTTTTCCCCCAAGTTTATAGGACAGTAACAACAGAAATTATTAATGGAAAGAGACCCACAATGAAAAAAACTGTGCTCTTAAAAAAAATAAATAAGTAAATAAAACTTAATATAATTTCCATTCTTTTAGATTTACTTTCTACCCATCACTTGGATTGAATTAGTCTTTCTCTAGGGACAAAGTGTAAAGATCCATTACCACAGTCACTGCTTTCCTATTAAAGAACAGGGTGCTTTTTGGAATATGTTAGAAGGATCATTTGTGCCTCAAAAAGAAATAAGAAAATATTTAAGCAATCTGCTATCTTCTCACTATGTTTTAGGCTGTAATTGCCCATAACAAGGTTCATATATCTTATAGCATGATCCAAATGATTCCATTTCTACATCTTTGATTGAAAATAAGCTGTCTTGACACAAATACTTAAATATTGATGGGGCGCCTGGGTGGCGCAGTCGGTTAAGCGTCCGACTTCAGCCAGGTCACGATCTCGCGGTCCGTGAGCTCGAGCCCCGCGTCGGGCTCTGGGCTGATGGCTCAGAGCCTGGAGCCTGTTTCCGATTCTGTGTCTCCCTCTCTCTCTGCCCCTCCCCCGTTCATGCTCTGTCTCTCTCTGTCCCAAAAATAAATAAACGTTGAAAAAATATATATATAGAATAAATATTTCACTATATTTTAACTTTTTAATAAATATTTATTTATTTTTGAGAGAGAGTGAGCGGGAGAGGGACAGAGAGGGGGACAAAGGATCCAAAGTGGGTTCCGTGCTGACAGCAGACAGTCCGATGTGGGGCTTGAACTCACGAACCCCAAGACTATGACCTGAGCTGAAGTCAGACACTCAACAGGCCTAGCCAACCAGGCATCTCAATATTTCACTATTAATATGTGCTCCTTTTAGATAAAATTAGAATCTTAAGGCCATACATCTTTTAAATATATTTAAATGTAACAAGTCTTAAATAAAAAAAGCAGCATTAGATAGGAAAAAGAATACACCAGCATTATAACAGGCCCTGTAACAAAACTCAAACAGTTTTTCCTCTAAAGCCAATTACTTCTCATATTTGGCTCATAGTCCTCTCAAACTGACATCTGAGCTTTTTGTTGAATGTAACTAGAAATACATACTGTAGAAATTCTATCAACTCCACCAAAATCTATCCATTGAAAAATTTCTGTTGAAGTTGAATCCTAAGATACCTTCCACTGTAAGAGTAGAATTATAGTTTTCTTTTCTTTAGAACACCACTTAAGGGAAAAGAAGGAAGGAAGGAAGGAAGGAAGGAAGGAAGGAAGGAAGGAAGGAA